TGGACTGCACTCTCAGCAAGTTTGCAGATGACACTAAACTGGGAGGAGTGGTAGATACATTGGAGGGTAGGGATAGGATATAGAGGGACCTAGACAAATTGGAGGATTGGGCCAAAAGAAACCTGATAAGGTTCAACAAGGACAAGTGCAGAGTCCTGCACTTAGGACGGAAGAATCCCATTCACTGTTACAGACTAGGGACTGAATGGCTAGGAAGCAGTTCTGCAGAAAAGGACCTAGGGGTTACAGTGGACGATAAGCTGGATATGAGTCAACAGTGTGCCCTTGTTGCCAAGAAAGCTAACAGCATTTTGGGCTGTATAAGTAGGGGCATTGCCAGCAGATCGAGGGACGTGATCATTCCTCTCTATTCGACATTGGTGAGGCCTCATCTGGAGTACTGTGTCCAGTTTTGGGCCCCACACTACAAGAAGGATGTGGAAAAATTGGAAAGAGTCCAGCAGAGGGCAACAAAAATGGGGGCTGGAGCACATGACTTATGAGGAGATGCTGAAGGAAGAAGAGAAGAATGAGGGGGGATTTGATAGCTGCTTTCAACTACCTGAAAGGGGGTTCCAAAGAGGATGGAGCTAGATTGTTCTCAGTGGTACCTGATGACAGAACAAGGAGTAATGGTCTCAAGTTGCAGTGGGGGAGGTTTAGGTTGGATATTAGGAAAAACTTTTTCACTAGGAGGGTGGTGAAGCACTGGAATGGGTTACCGAGGGAGGTGGTGGAATCTCCTTCCTTAAAGGTTTTTAAGATCAGGCTTGACAAAGCCCTAGCTGGGATGTTTTAGTTGGGAATTGGTCCTGCTTTGAGCATGGGGTTGGACTAGATGACCTCATGAGGTCCCTTCCAACCCTGATATTCTATGATTCTATGATTCAAAGAGACCTGTGGACTCCACATATTGCTGGAGTTGTCTCACCTCAAGCCTTCCAAAAAAAAGGGAATATTTGAGACAGAGTGGTAACCAGCATTAACAAATGAGCAAAGGCCTACCAAACCAGTGAGCTTGTGGAGCTCTAGGACCAACTCCATGAAAACAGGGGAGGGAGGTTTTGAATGGATACTGTTATCAACCGTTAATGAATTCATAGATGTTAAAGTCAGAAGGGAACCTTATGATCATCTGTGATGACCTGCTGTATAATGACAGGCCATAGAATTTCACTCAGAGATTCCTGCATCAGGCCTGTAACTTATGGCTGCATAAGATCATTTCTTTTGGAAAAACATTCAATCTTGATTTAAAGAGTTCAAGAATCCACCATATCTCCGGGGAAGTTTGCCCAATGGCTAAATAAATATATGGAGATATTCTATCTCCTAGAACTGGAAGGGACCTTGAAAGGTCATTGAGTCCAGCCCCCTGCCTTCACTAGCAGGACCAAGTACTGATTTTGCCCCAGATCCTGAAGTGGCCCCTTCAAGGATTGAACTCATAACCCTGAGTTTAGCAGGGCAATGCTCAAACCACTGAGCTATCCCTCCCCCCCTAATTATTGGTAAATATTACTGATAAAATTGTGCTGTATTTCTAGTCTGAAATTGACTAGCTTGAGCTAGTTATAATTGGCACAACTTCTTGGACACGCTAAAGGTTGTTAGGAGCTTCTACTTGAAGCAACTTGATCCAGGAAACCATATTGTAGCTGGATTGTGAATAATTCAATAAAGTAGGACATCGTTCCTAAGATCGTAACTGTACTTCAGCTGTAAGAGGAAAGCTGAGGGGTAAGAAAGAAGAGGAATAAAGAAAAATGGAGAGTGTAGAATCCTGGCTAAGGAGGACAGAAAACCATGAACTCTATTTGCTTCTGTCATCATCTTTTCTTTTGTGTTTTCTAGCTCCCTTTGTTCTCACATGTACACATCTGTTGCATCCTTTTTGGCCCACCCACTTTCCCTTTCTTTGCCCCTCCCATTCCTTCTTTCTTACTCCACACTCTACATTAAGCATTTTAAAAGTCACTGATGTCAAAATCCTCTTACAGCAATTGCCTTTACTGCTTGTCCTCCCTCTGCTGGGACTCTCCCCCTCTTCTTATGAGTGACAAAAAGCGGGAGGCACAGCTAATTCAGCAGAATGCAGGGCAAATGTATTTGAAGCAGCAAATGCACTTGGGAGGTTTCTTTTTTTGTAATACAGAATTTACAACAAGGACACAGAAGCTGCACAAGAATCAAGTCAGCACTTTACCAACCAAGTGAGTGGAGATGGCGTAGCTACAGTGTAGCAGAGAGACAAGTGGAGTGAGGGAATATCTTTTATTGGACCAACTTCTGTTGGTGAGAGAGACAAGCTTTCAAGCTACACAGTGCTCTTCTTCAGCATGTGGACACAGCAGAATGAGGCAAAAGGATAAGGACAGAGCTGCAGAAGAGCTGGGATTTTAGCAAAAACTGTAGCAGGCTGCCAAGACTGGGCATAACAGCAGCAGAGATCAAGAGTGAAAACTGAGAGAACAGACAGATTCTTTCTTTGCCTCTCCTAAGCGGATATAAATCAGTGCACTTCCATTGTTTTCAATGGGGAACTATGCATCCGTTGAGGATCTGCTCTCTTAACTTGCACAGAATATGTTTAGTTATTAATATTATATCCAGCACTGTTTTACCTGAGTTTTATAAAAATTAAAGATAATCAACTCTATTGTCAAACAACGACCAACAAGTCAATCTCCACCAGCTCCTCCTCCCACCCATTGACAATATCTTTTTACTCAATAAACTCTTTGATGTGGCTGCTTCCATAATGTAAAACACGGTGTTAGCAACATGTGATGTTATGATTTTGCATTTACACCATTAACATAGTAAGTTTTTCTCTTTTAAAAAAATTTACCCAGTTGCATAATTTTACTATCACCATTCAAAATGGGTGTAATTTTTGTATGAAGACAAAGGTCTATTAGAAAATAAGCATGCAAGACAAGTACCTTGGGTTTCAGGCTTTCATGATCAGGAGGCTGGGAAAAAGACTTTGGTGAACGCAGCTCTCTGGATCTTGACAACGGTGTACAAGGTGACTGGCCTGGGACAGGAGATCTACATGGTGTTACTGATATAGTGGGGAACTGCGTAGGTCTTGCAGCTGAGGAATATAAACTATGTTTTGGGTGCAGTGAGGAGGAATTAAGTTGTGGTGAGTGGGAATGAATATTATAGGATGGGCAAATAGGTGATGTAGAATTAGCAGGTGAGGAAGACCAATGGGTTGAGACATTTGAAGGGGTAGGGGAAACAGGATTCAGTTCCTGAGCAGACAGCTGGGATGAACCTGCTTTTGATTTATAGGTTGGATGCAAAAGATTTGGAGAAGAGGAAGAACATTTTTCTAGGATAGGGGAGAATGTGCCTTTTTCATTGGCAGGAGAGGACAAAGGGTATGATTTACAAGTGAAAGTGGGTGAGTAGGTGTGGACTCTCCTAGACTTTTCAGGCCTTTGCGGTTTGTGGACAGGGTAAGGCAACAGTTTTGTAGGAGAAAGTGCAGGGTTAAGGGAAGAAGAGTGTCTTGGGACAGGGGGCGGCATTGAAGATGATTTAGGTTGTAATAGGGGGGATACAACTGTTTTCCTATAGGAAGAAATGGTGGATGACAGAGGATATAATGAGTCAGGAGAAAGTGTTCTGGCATGAAGGTGCTTTTTAGGGGAAAGGGATCTAGCCCGAGGAGTAGAAACGGGCTTTGAGGACAAAGGCAAGTGAGTGGGCGAGTGAGAAAATAGTGAAGTCCAATGTACCTCTTGGCTTGGAGAGTTTGACCTAATAGAAAAGCTTGAGGCAGATTTCTTAGGGGTAGGGGGACTTGTTTTAAACTTCTGATCTATTGTGAGTGTTGAGGAGCAAAGGGAATTAGGAGAAAAGGTAGGGGGACAGGATGCAGAGGAGAGTGGTCTTTGCTGAGACCGGCCTGACTTCAGAATAGCAGTTAAAAGAGAGAGTCTGGTTGGCAGAAGGGATCTAATTCCAGACTTCATCAGATTTCCACTAGAGGACATCCTGCTACCAGGCTCATTTACACTACATATGGTTGAGGAGGAGCCATAAAATGGGGAGGACAGTGGTTTAGGACTAGGTGATAATGAATGTGCTGTGATATGGACAGGGGTGGCAAAAAATGTGTTCAATCTCTTAGAAGAACAGGGAGATACGGGCTGATCTGGAGAACCTGGCGTTCCTGCTGAATTGGGAAAATATGAAACTAGAGTTGGACTCTTGCTTGGAACGGATGATGCTGTGAATTCAGACATTTTGTAAACATAGTTAGGCATAGCAATATTTGGCATTTGAAGGTTATTGGAGAATTGAGTACTGGAAGAAGGGCTGTTTAATACAGATGGTGATCTCTGGGGCATGTAAAGAGGTGAACTGTGAGCAGTAGCCTGAAAACACGTAGATGAATCTTGTTTAGAAGACCTAGCTGCAGACTGCCACTTGTTATAGGATTCTTCCAGAGAAGAGACTTGTTTCGGATTAACAATGTCACATTTTACTTTCAGTTTAGTTGGAGAAATTAAGCAGGCAGCAGGTGGTTTATGAGAAAGATGATCAAAAGTAGAAGGAGAAGTTAACTGGGGAAAAAAGAAAGAGAAGTGTTAAAATAGGGTGAGATGAGGGAAACAGTTAAAATCTTACATATCAGTTGCATGATCATGCGTAAAGTATTATATTAGTACTATATTGTGGGCTAACAGCCAGGGCCGGCTCCAGGGACCTGCTTCTTAAGCAGGTGCTTGGGGCAGCCGCTCCGGAGAGGGGCGGCACGTCCAGGTATTCGGCGGCAATTCGGCGGACGGTCCCTCACTCCGCCTGGGAGCGAAGGACCTTCCGCCAAATTGCCGCCGCAGATCGCAATTGCGATCGCGGGGTTTTTTTGTTTTTTGTTTTTGGCTGCTTGGGGCGGCCAAAACCCTGGAGCCAGCCCTGCTAACAGCACAGGGATATCTTAACTGTCAGTGATACAGCCTGGTGGGCTCCTTTCTAATGAGGCATGATTTAGAACAAAAAACTTGTGCACATGAATTATTTTGATGGAGATTTTGTTTTGCTTATATAAACAAGTTACCACTTGTCTAGGTTCAAGGCTATTGTATTTCCCATGTAAGCAAAAACTGAAGTAATTATGCTGTCAGTCAGCATATGATGCAACTAGAAGTTATGGTACCCCAACAGTGTACATTTTATTTTACACACACACACACACACACACACACACACACACACACACACACACACACACACACACTATTGTGATCAGT